CCACGTAATCAGTTCAGCAACCAGACTCTGTGCCTAGAGAAATGTGGTGCTGAGGGACTGCAGGGGGTAGAGCAGGCGTGTGACTCTTACTCTCACGTGGTGTACAAAGATGTGCGGCTCTTTGAACTGGAATCACTTTATCCACTTTTGCAGGACTCGAACTTAAATCTCCGCATCATCCACCTGGTCCGAGACCCACGGGCAGTTGTGCGGTCTAGGGAAGAGTCAGCCAAGGCCTTTATGAGTGATAACGCAATCGTCTTGGAACAGAAACGCATTAAGGAAGCAGAGGTACAGTATCAGGTCATGCAGGAGATTTGTCGCAGCCATGTGCGTATCAACGAGAGGGCGGTCCTGAAGCCCCCTCCATTTCTAAAAGGCCGCTACAAATTGGTTCGCTACGAGGACATGGCACGCAATCCACTCGAGGAGATCAATGCCATGTATCAGTTTGTAGGTCTGGAGATGACCACAGAGCTGGCCACATGGATCTACAAGGTGACCCACGGAAAAGGCAAAGGCTCTATTAAAGAGGCCTTCAAGATCACGTCGAGGAGCGCTACCAACGTCTCCCAGGCTTGGCGCACCATGCTGCCACACAGCAAGGTCAGACGAATCCAGGAAGTGTGTAAAGGGGCCATGTCGTTGCTCGGGTACAGGACGGTGAACAGTGAAAAGGAACAGAAGAGGCTTGACATAGATCTCCTGGTGCCACGGGAACCCTATCAGTTCAGCTGGTTGCCTGATAAAACACAGCACCCTAACAACAATTAGAACTGGAATGACAAAGACTTGTTAAAACAGGAATAAAAACAGACTTTTTAAAGAATGGACTACTCAAAGGACCGGATAACGGTACCACCCTGCCCTGGTTCTTCTTGTTTCGGAGGCCGAAGTGGGGACACCAATAATACCAAAACTGAAACCATTAACTCTGGGGTAAACCAAGGTCAAAAGCAAGAAATCAAACTAATCAAAACTAGGTCTGCTGTTGGTGTCAGCTGCTGTCAGGGGATGTATGGAGACACAGTTTTTGAAGTGGCCAGTTGACAGTGGGGGCCAATCAGCAGATGCCATTTTGAAGCCAGCCCAAAACAGCTCACCCAATCAGACAAGGGACATGTATAGTCTCTTAAAGGCACAGACCACACACAAAAACAGTCCACAGACTCACTGACAAAATAATTTATGACAAAATGATGTAACATAACCAAAATCCTGATTTATGATGTGCCACATTAAACACACAGAGCCGGCCATTGGCCGTTGCATGCCACATTGTTTTAAGCATATGCATCAAACCATTGTCTCCTGAAGGCTTGATTCATGATGATAATGATGCTATTTGATGCTTTCTAGTGGCTACTCTTGCTCTTCAAATCCCTTATGTGCACCTCAAGGACAACCAAGACGTATAGAACAAATAAATACAAATGTTTCCTATGCAAAGTCTTTAATGGTGCAACACGATGCATAAATACTGACCAGCCTCCAAGTATCACCAGCACCTGATGTGTTAACGCACTAATAGCACTTAGAACTGAAGGGCTACTCATTTGGCACCTCACATACTTTTCTCATGCTGATAGTGTGAGAAAAGTTAAGAAGCTGCAGAGAGCCGTGAGAAAATGCATTAGCACAATGAAACGCACCTACCCTCTCTTAGCAATGTGCATATTATTAATACGGTACAGCCAGGAATCTCACTAACTGGACTCAAGCTTAATTCATCCCGCAGTAAAAAGTAATGGGCGGAAATCACCAGACACCCTGCAGTATAAAAAAACAGGTATTGACAAAAAATCATGTTTTTTTTGCTCCAAAATGAGTCAAGCACGCCAACGCTGTTACTAAAACCTGCCATAAATGTTGCTTTAAGATGGAGTCAGTCTGCTGTTACTCTGCAAATGAATGTCTGACACATCAAAATATATTGATGTAACTGACAAAAGTCTCACAGCATGGGATAGATTATCTGTTCCTTCTCAGACCTGCTCTCAGCTCAGAACTAACAGCATTATTTTGCATCCTGGCTCCATTTAAGTGCCTGAGAATTTAAACATTATTTTTTAGCTTCCACTTGAAACTCCTCACTTCCACGGTGTATTGTAGCTATGAAGGTATGCATTCATGAAGGAGTGGAATTAACATGTTTACTTAAACTGGATAAAAGTGCTCAGTGTCATTATTTACATTTGTTTACGGGATCTGTCTGTTTTATTGATTAATACTTGATTACACTGAAATGTCTTTTAATGAGTAGCAAATGTTAAATCACGTTGATTTATATCTTTACAGTAAGAGAAAAAGGATAAATGAACTACTGTTAATCGTGTTTAGGGTGCTTTGTAGTAAAAAATGTACATTAATTTTTTTAATGCATAAAAAATTGTCACGGGTTTTTTTTTTAAAGATGGACTTCAGCTATAACTTGGTGTGAGTTTTGTGTTTCATATATGACTTAGTGTTCTGATTGAAACAATATCTTCACTTGTACATTTTTGGAAACTTGCTATGAAGTACAGAAGTGTTTTACATCATGGAGTAAAATACATAACAAAGTATTGTTTATTTGAGATGATATGTACTCTGATTTAAGGTTTATTTCATCAATGGGAACTTTAAATGGGTTATTCTGCTCATTAAAAACACTGGTTAGAATCTATTTTGTACTGGTTCGGGTCTCTTTTCCATAAGCAAAGATAAAATCTTAAATACACAGACTCAAGATCTCAAAAGGAAACTAGTGCTCTCCAGTTTGAAGGGATGGGCGGTCCAGCAAGCTCAAAGCAGAGCAAAGAGTAGTGGAAAAATTAGAGGCATGTTTTGACGTGAAACTGAACATGCGTTGGAGAATACCACCACTAATCATCTGACCATAGAGCCCTGTACTAGGAAGCATGTTCTCAGAAGAGTAAAGAATAAAAATAGTACCGTTCACAATACATAAACAACATAGTTAAAATAAAAGGTCACAGGCGGACACTGCCAGGGCCTAACATTTACTGTGAGATGCAAAAATTTACACATGGGTTACTCTGTTTCAAAACAGCCAACGTTCAGAACACTTCCTGTTCGACTGTCTCTGTTTTACGTTCATGGTAGAAAATGTGAAATGGCTGTTTAAAATATTAAAAACAATTTCAAGCTGTCCTGGAAAGTTGCATATTTGAGCACAAATAATTCAAATAACTTTCTTATTTAATTAATATTTCACTACAATACAAAATTAAGGATATAGAATACTTTTCAACAAGAAAATGGCATTTATTGTAAATAAAATGCCATTTTCATTCACTTTCATGTTGATTCTAGTAACCATGGCAGGTTATCTTTGACAGTCTTTGAGATATTCATGTTCAATCATTGTAGAAGATTTCACTATGCAAAAAAGGCCTGAAAGCGGCTCAGAAGACCTTGAAAAACATATGGATCTGAGAGTATTTGATATTGCAAGATTGTGCAAGAGAATGTGAGAATGCTAGTTGAATAAATGTACATTTCACCATATTGTTGTTCACATAGGAATCTGGTTTAACACGAGAACAACTGACAGGAGTCAGCAAAAGGTCCCCTGTCACTGGTGGGTGTCTTTTTGGGTTTTTAACACTTTGCCTGGAAACAGGTATATTCTGGCATGGTGACGGACGTACGTACCTGCTAAAGAAAGTGGAGTTGCATACAGTCTCACAGAGAATGGTTTCCTGAAGTGTTCTGAAACACTCTATGGCAGCAGGGTTTAAGTCTGAGGATAAGGAGCTCTGCTACCTCGGTACTGTGGAGTGGAGCGAGTGCAATCGATTGTCCATCATTCAGTGGCGCTCATCGACTCAAACCTCCAGATTCTGGCAAAAAAATGGTTCCAGCTTCGTTGATCCTGCTGATGCTGTCCACGAAGTATTGAATGGATTTTGAAATTTGTTTCCATACCCTACCATCAGGGCAACACTTCACACTTTCATTTCACAACTTGATAACACAATGTCCTTACAAAACAGTTTTCATTGTCCTATAGCCTGAAATCTTACATCAAGCATCCTTACCAGGGGCGTCAAACTTCTGGCCCGCAATACCATTAAGCTCCTTTTTCATTAGTACCTACTTGGATTGACCCACCACAACTTGACTCTGATCCATTGGTTTTCCAT